TATCGAATCAAAATTTTACTCCAATAGAGTCCTAATGGGCCTGCATCGACAGTGTTTATGCCTCTGTCAAGTTCTGTACCGTCGGTTGACTCGAAGCGTAGAATTGGCAACAAGTCGCGTGCTTGGCAGTGCACAGTTCCAACCTCCACTACGAGCTGACCATCAAACTCCACTCTCACTACGTTTGGTCCGTACGAACGAGTAAAGCGAACCGCTTCTGCTATCTACCTTGCGTTCCATCTGTGCGCCTCAATAGTCAGCTCCAAATCTCGGGAATTAGAACGGACGCTTCAAGGCTATTCTCGAGTAGCTCGACGAAGTCGTTGAGACCGCCTGTCCTGTCGACTTCCTCGGCCCCCACACGGCACTGAAGCGTTGAAACACCTCCGACAGACTTTGTGCACCGTACTCTCTCCACTCAGTGGCACTAAATATTGAGCATTGCTGCTGCTGAGCGCTTCTTACCCGCCATGCTTTCCCTTCAACATTGGTCACTAACACTTTAAAATGATGCGGAGGCAGTCCTTCCTCATATTCGAACCGCCGACTTACCGATTTTATCTCTCTCATGCCGCGCAAAGACCTCATCATTCCGAGCAAACAAGATGCTAGTCTCGACCTGCCATCGATCGCGTCACCAAAGACCGCAGCCCACCTCCCTGCAGAACTCCCGTGGGCAAATGATTGGCCCACAGTCCTTTCAGCGGCATGTTCTCTCTCCCCATCTTTAACATCTCTAACCTCCACCTCCTGGGCACTTTTGGTGAGCTAATCGAAGACAGGGCAGAATAAGCAAGAGATACCACCGTGGAAGGAGTGCACAGCTTTACAGCCACGCATCCCGTTGCACCCGCTACCCCCGCACCTCCGTAGCGATCCTGTCCAACGAAGCTGTCTTGCCAACCATTATGTCTCTGTACCAAGATGTTGGTCTGGTAGGGGAGGAGCTTTGCTTGTTGACCGGGGAAACAAGTCCCAAAGCTCTTTGAAACAGGCGACATACCCAGGCAGCCCGAAGCCTCTGTCCTGCACCACCACCTTCTATTCGCCTCCTTTGCCACCCACCCTCTGTCTCGCGGCCCGTCAATCTGGTTTATCTCGATACGCTCGGAATACAAGGCTCGGCAACTTCATATCTCCAAGCAGTATTCTTGTTGCGCAAAGTTGATATATACAACCGCCGTCACCACCGCCGCCATGGAGCCTGATCTTTCCAAGAGCATCACCATGCACCCGCACCCCTTCCGACTGCACACGCCATCCCACCTCGCCAACACCTCCCATCGAGGCTCCATGCAGCTCAACGTTGAAGATGCCGCAGCCAACGCCTCTAGTACGGCCATAGAGGCCACATCTCGCCCCGCCTCGCAAGATAAGAAACATGAGCCTGTTGCCCGCCACTCTACTGCCGCTACCGATGTCGAAGGTCGGCCTCGTCTACGATCCGATTCGGACCCCTACGGTCTCTCCGCGGCCTTCAAGACTCCGGACGACCTCGCCCAGATCAGAGCCAACACCTCGCGGAAACGGGATAGTAATCCCACCGACAAAACTAGTGGTAGGACATCACCAGGCGGCTCCTGGCGTCGGGGTCACAAAGTCCAGCAGTTCTACGAAACACAGAACGCGGCTATCGAGCGTATGCTCAAGTCTGTCGACGAGCACGTTGCTGAGGCCCGTCAGGAGGCTGGTGACGACCAGCTGCAGTTCAGGATCGCCGTCTGGGGCTCCTTTGCCGCGAACATTCTCCTCACAGCTCTGCAGCTCTACGCAGCAATCAGCACCGGCTCCCTCTCGCTCATCACCACAATGGCCGACGCCATCTTTGACCCCCTCAGCAACCTGACCCTTATTCTAGTCGGCCGTGCTATCAAGAGAGTGAACCCGCGCCGCTTCCCAGCCGGCAAAGCCCGCCTCGAGACTGTCGGGAACATCGTCTTCTGCTTTCTCATGATCTCGGTCTCGCTCATCATTATCGCCTTCGCCGCGCGTGAGCTAGCCACCGAAAAGGACTCGGCCAACGAGACAAAGGCTTTCCGTTTCGAGCCCATCATTGCCGTCGGCGTCGCCTTTGCAACCAAGTTTGCGCTCTTCCTGTACTGCTTCTCCCTGCGAAACCGATATTCCCAGGTCCGCATCCTCTGGTCCGACCATCGCAACGATTTGCTGGTGAACGGCTTCGGTATTCTGACGTCCGTCGGCGGGTCAAAACTGAAGTGGTATATCGACCCGACCGGTGCCATCATTCTATCCCTGGTTGTATCTGGCATCTGGTTGCGAACCGCCATCGCCGAGTTCTTGCTGCTCGTGGGCGTCACCGCCTCGGTTGAGACTCAGCAGCTCATTACCTATGTCTGCCTGACGCATTCACCTGCTATCCAGGGTATCGACACGGTGCGCGTCTACCACTCGGGCCCACGGCTTATCGCCGAGGTGGACATTGTCATGGACCCCGCCAACACACTCGCCCAGACGCACGACGTAGCAGAGGCGCTGCAGGTGAAGTTGGAGAGTCTACCGGACGTGGAGCGGGCTTACGTACATATCGACTACGAGACCACACACAAGCCGGAGCATGCGTTCAAGAAGGATCTGTAAGGATGTGAAACAGTATGCATATTACCAGGACGGGAAGCGTTGGCGGCGTATAGGTGTTCGACGCGACACCATCTCACGCAGCTTTGGTTGGATGGAGGGGCCTTGACGACAAGCATGAAAGGCCGACGACGAAGCGTCCACAACAGATGGCGAATAGCTTTATTGTGATAAAAATTACAAAGCAATAGAACACGACTGGGTCCCGACATTCCTTTTAGGACCAGCTCGAGCGGTGGGACAGGACTATTATCAAATTACAGCTACGTTTCGGTTCACTTAGCTGGCTTTTTTTTACCTCATCCGACTCATATGAGAATCCGCTCCCCAGTACTAGTGTTGCAAAAGGCATAAACTCTGCTCTTCTCGGCGACGGCTTAGTCAAGTTGGTGTCAGCATCTCGGGTCTACTCTAAGTGAGGGGAGATACGCACTCTGCCACAAGAATTTGTCGATGCTCCAAGATGCTTGCTGGTGATCTTCCCGCGCAGTGAGATGCATACAACCCAGGTCACTTGTGATACGGATTTTGACACTCTTGGGAGACTTGAGCCACTGGTCACAATTACAGTCAGGCCGGAATGTGACCGAGTGTAGCTGAAGCAGTGTTGAAAGACGCAAATGTCGGAAAATGGAGTCGGTCAGGGGCCTCTGCATCGCACGGTACCTCCAACCAAACACGAAATTGTTCCGGCCATAGAGAATAGGGGTAGCTTCGTGTTCGATCTGCCTGCATGAGTGCAGAATCTGGACGTGAGGTTTTCCATGGGTGAGCGACACGACGCGAGGTCTCGGACGGGGCGCGCGCAAGTAGACGACCTGGTGCTCCGGCGGCTCAACCTTGACTCGGAGTTGGCGGCAGCTGCTTGACACAATGATGGGCTCCGGACTGAGGAGCAGGAGCTCGTAAATGTCTAGGCGGAGCTCATAAGGGAGACTCAAAAAATCTAGGCGATGCGAGCGAGGCCCTGCGGTTGGTGGCCGCAGCGGCTATGAAAAGTGAGTGTATTTAGTATTCGTCTTTAAGATAAAGGCCGAGAGAAGTGCCCCTTTGCCGGAGCCGCAAAGAGGCTACGAACGTACGAATAGCAGACGTTGATGTGGTAATTTGGTAGGCAGGTAGGTAATAGGCTGTAAAGGAAACACACGACAAGTCACTATAGGACTGAAAGTGCCGTGCTGGGTAGACCCTTGATGCAGATCATCAGCTTGAGCTGCTGGGTCCCCGCACCACGATGCGGAGATGGTCCACAGGGTTCTCAGGGTCCTTTCTTGTTTTGCCCACCTCAAAGCATCCCTCGGTTTAGGCGACGTGAGCTCGACAGCAGACGAGTAGGCACGGTAGATAATGAATTTTCTCAGATATTCCACACTTGTGTCGACATCTCCCGTGAGCTAGCCGGGATATGATGGAACTCAGATTACTTGGTGATGGACGGAAAGTCAATGCAGACTTACAATGATGATGGCCTGCGTCTGTAGCTTTGGGTCAGGTGAGCATGTGACCTCATCTGCATCATGAGCAGGATTTTCCATGGTGGACGAGTATGAAGAAGCTGTCTATCAGCAGCGTACCTACAACTGACGGGATGTGAGACGAGCTTGGCTACGGACTTGCTGCAACAAGGGCGGGGCAAAGATGGACACTTTGGAGGATGGGCGGACGATGAGAGGAACGAGATTACTGCAAGGTGGTGTGTTGGAAAGTGCAGATTACCTTAATCCGGCGCATGGCTCGGCTTGGCTTTCCAGGGTCATTTGTGACAGAAACGAACATCTTTGTCCGATCGAAGTAAGGTGTACATACGATGTAGTAGCCATGGCCAAACGCGGCATCACCACCGTGGCGAGACATGCGGGAGGTGCAAGGAGGTTCCCGTGTTCACGTCATTTCCCTCTGAGTATCCTTTTTCCAACCACACAAGCCACACCAACCTCCAGCTCCCTCCCAACGGCAAGTATCAGGGCGACAGGAGTGTCTGGTGATAGGAAGCGGCGGCAAATGCGGGGAAACTGCGGTCAGGGAAACTCTTGTTCCTTTCTTACCACAAGCTGACAGCTTCAACAGCGCAGAAGGCGGGGTAGTATGAAAGCATCCTCGCTGTCATGGTCAAAGTGCAATGTCCGAGTGCACGACAGAATCTAGATCACTTCACGAGGGGGGTCCATGGTAAGGATATCCGAGCCCTGAGATCTCGAGGTTTATCTTAAAAAGTGTTAACCAGCAATTAGTGGATGCTGTAAGCGTGTTTTATATGGATATGCAATATTGAGTAATTGGCCCTTATGAGGGATAGGAGTAGGCGCAGAGGTAAGGATATCCGAGGAAACACACCAGACGGTTTGGTAAGCATTAATGTCCAATTGCTCAACTGACATGTCCATTCAAGGCCAGCTATGGAGGGAAATTGCTGTTGATTCGGTATCCCTTGAGTCCAGCACAGAACTCTGAGACGGCTGCCTGCCAGCCCTTCCCCCCCCTTTTCTTTCTTTTATGTATATCCGCTCTCCCGATGTTTTTAATATGACGTCTGAATCATGCTCAATAGCTGATGATTCTTCCACTTTGGATGACCTACCTTGATCACTCACCTTCAAATACCCGACCTTGTATACTGTTGACGGGCTTTGCTCGCGCGTGGTCGTTTTCTTGCTGTAGGCGCTGCGTCATGCCCGGCGACGGTCTTGACGATGGACTAGCAGCGACAGCGGAGAGTGCGCAAGACATTGATGTAAGTTGTGGGACCTGAACCAGGCCGGGTTCGGAGTGACATATTTAATATGGGACGTTCCTGGAGAAGACGAGGAACGAGTCTCGAGCCTCGAGCCTCGGCAAGAATGGTCTAAATATCTGAGTCGCGTGTGGCCGTTGAGCCTTCATTTCTGTCTCTGGAGTCCTCACACAACCCGGGAATGGATTGAGGAACACGACTATCATGCCTTTTGGTCGAGGCCCTCGTGACCCTCAACGGAGAACAGACGAGGGATACCGTGAATTTGATGTTGAATTGGGGAGCGCGTCAAGGTTCAAGGATAGGTAAATAGACGAAGAGGGGAGAAATTTACCCGAGTGGCAGCTTTGACCAGACCCGACTCCAAAAGGTGCACAAGCTCTGACCCTCCTTGGCAGTCGTTCGAGTCGCTTTTCAGTGCGAACCTTTGAGGTGGTGGGCGGGGGCTTCCTAACACTATCCGCACCTTAGCACGCAAAGACCCGCTGGAACGGCGCACTCACAGACGTCAGATGGCCCCTGGTACCTAGGTACTTCGTCGTACTTTAGCCAAACGTTATCTAAGGTATCCGTACCTAAGGTAGGTAGGTAGGAGGTACCTTGAGCTCCTACACCAACCTTTACCTCCTTTTCGTTGCGTCCTTTCTCCCATCTGCAAAGAAGGAATCCAAGCACAGCTCGATTGTTCTATTTCGAAAGACATATCTGGAAGAGAAGAGGTTTCGCCCTTGTAGTCCTCCTACAGCTGCAAACTTAGGTGGAAAAGCTGACATTACACAGTATATCCCCAGGGGCCAGCTGTGTTTGCTCAATTGCAATTTCCGTTGCTGCAACGGCCTTGCTTGTGCAGCTTCCCAACGACCCACGCCGTTCCTTCTATCCTATCCGAGGCCGCAAAGCTCTGCCTGGGTCCCCAGTCGCGCATCATCGGCTTCGTTACCAACATCTCTGCCTTCCGCCGAGAGGTAGAGATACCTGAAGCGTTTGACTAAAGCGGCTCCCAGCCCGCCTACGTCTCCAAGTGGTACGTCCCTGCCGCGTTCTGCGACTCTCGCTTTTGCTGCACAACGACCCGAAGCTCTTCGTACAGGGTGGGAAATGGCAGGCATCGCGACTAACAGCCATTCCCCGCTAATGATGTGATTACGAGCCACAGACCATCCGCCTGGCTGTCCAGACCGTCCACGTCCGACTTCGCGCATGCCTCTTCCCGACAAGCCTTCATTCACAGCTCTCTCACTCTGATAAATCAGCACTGGTAGCGACGTCCTTTTCCCGTTTGCCCAATTTCCCTCCCGTTTTCACCTTCCACTTACCTCGTCTCTCGTCTCCCTGGTAGTCTCCCAGGTAGGTACAATACAGAATACGGGATAGAACCACCCCATTTCTCATGCTCCTCTGCGGATACCTAGGTAGATACTTGGCCCTCGCATAGCCAAGGTATCCTGGCCGACATCTGCAGCGAACCCGCCTCAGAGCTGCCCTCCACCTCCACGCCTCCTTCTCTCCGCACCAGCTCCCACCTGGACTGAACCTGGACCTGGACCTGGGCCTCGACTTGGACGCACAGCTCTCCATCCCCGCCACGACCATCTGCTGTCCGTCACCCTGCCCACAACTTTTGTCGTGCCACTCAACATCACCAACCTCCTACGGGACACACCTGTCAAATACTGTCCATGGCCATTCCCTGAAAACAGTCCTCTGTCGTTGTCTCGTTGATTCTGCCCTTTAGTACTGTGTCTCGAAACGTCTTACACCTACAATGGCGCCGCTTCGGGGAGGTGAACAGGTCTATGCGACGGTTCGTGTACCCAACGCGCCATCGCAAAGCGAAGAGGGCGCTCACAAAAAAAAAAAAAAAAAAAAAGAAAGTAAACAAAGAGCTAACAGCCACATTCATATAGCTTCTGTTAAACGACACTTACCTTCCAGGTTAGTTACTGGCCCTCGGTTTACTTTTTCAAGCTCTGCTGACACTTTTGCAACTAGGCGCATTGGTTCTCGCTCATTCTCTCCGCGATGCTGGCACTTCGAAACAGCTGATCATCCTCGTCACGCTCGACACTGTATCCGCCGAGGTCATCACAGAACTCACGGTGAGCTCGCGACAACTTTGGCGCCCATTGAACTCTCGGTGCAAAATACTGACGCCTCCCTGGTGTAGGCCGTCTACGATCATGTCATCCCCGTGCCGCGCATTCGCAACGCCCGACCTGCAAACCTCTACCTCATGAATCGGCCTGATCTTCATTCGGCCTTTACCAAGGTCAACCTCTGGAGACAGACCCAATTCTCCAAAATAGTCTACATCGATGCCGACGTTGTCGCCTACCGAGCTCCGGATGAGCTATTCGACATCGCCGCGCCCTTTTCTGCCGCACCCGATATCGGATGGCCGGATCTTTTCAATACTGGTGTCATGGTTTTGAGCCCCAACATGGGAGACTACTATGCTCTCACGGCAATGGCCGAAAGAGGTATCTCTTTCGATGGTGCCGACCAAGGTCTCCTCAATATGCACTTCAAGAATACGTATAACCGCATCAGCTTCACCTACAATGTCACACCATCGGCTCATTATCAGTATGTGCCTGCGTACCGACACTTCCAGTCAAGCATCAACATGGTGCATTTCATTGGCCCCGATAAGCCCTGGTTCCAAGGTCGACAAGCAAGCAAGGGAGATTCGCCATTCGAAGACATGATTGGCAGATGGTGGGCCGTTTACGACCGACATTATCGAGTTGCAGTATGTCTCTCAAAATCGGTTTTGGCAGAACAAGAGCTTACGTCTGTTTAGGAAATGGCACCTGCTCCGTCACAAGGACAGCAGCGACAGCTTCCAGAAGAGACTAACCAAGCTTCGCAAGAGCAGACAAACCAAGAGCAACAGGTTCCTGAGATCGTACAGTACTTTACTAAAGGAGAATTCCAGCCGCAAGCTGCCCAAGCAACTTCAACGGGTGAGCATAATAACGTGGCGGAAACTCCTCACAGTCACGATAGCACACACTATCAGATGGCACCCCCTTCCTCGGGTCATCAGGCTCATGGCCTTTCCCACCATGATGCCCATGATGCTGGCTCCTTCCAGCCGTGTGTTCATCATGAACAACCCCATCATGGTCAAGGATCCCAGCCTGAGATTGCGTATCAGGCTGGCCATTCGTCCACCCCTTCTAGCGAGTCATTTGGTGCTTTTGCTGGAACGCAAGCTGAGGCTCGACCAGAGCAGATTTCAGCACACGGGGGGCGGGGTGAATCAGTACCAGTGGTGCAACATAGAGAGCCAACTCCTCCTGCATGGGACGCTCAGAGGTTCGTCAACGATGTAGCTTCGATACTGTCTCCTATACTAACTTTGAAATAGACAACCCCCACCGGTAGATTCAAGACCGGAAGCACTCAACTTCCCTTCACAGACGTATGAGATGTCTCAGGACCCCGCTCCATTTGTGCCCCCCCACCGATACCCGAGTCCCCCAAGAAATATGTGGTATGAGCTTCCGAAAGACAAGCCAACGCAGAAGCCTCGTCACCTTTTCCCATGGGAAGTCAACCAACCCAAGCCGACCAGAGTCTTCACTACGGACTCGGCAGAGCCAGAAGCCGAGGAACCTTCGAGCACGCCGACTGGTGAGCACGCGGCGTCTCCCATGGCGTCTTCCATATCTCAGGCTCCCGCTGAGCTGTCTCTTCTAGGATCATCGACGACTGGTCAAAAGAGCGAGCCCAGCACCCCAGCTACTCCAACTATCAAAGTCAGCCCGTCAGATCCTTGGACCGCTTTCACACGTACAAATGCCTGGGACGAAGTACCCGAAATCGAGCGTTACGTCGAGGGTCTCCAAAAGCATCGTCGTGGAAAGAGCCAGGGCTCGGTAGGAATCTCTGATGGAAAGATAGCAAAGGAGCACGGGCTCAAGCTCACAGACTTCCCTAGCGTAGTCGAAAGACCTAGTCTTCCAGTCACTCCTGCACCTATCCGTCGGCCAAAATTCTGGGGCGGTGGCCCCGGACCTGGCGACGGAGAGGATGACGAGGAACTGCCGGTCGCCCAGGGCGTGCCGCCGCAGACTGACTGGGTATGTGTGCATGGACTTCGGTGGACTCCTGCAGACTGTCTATGCGAATATACTAACCTGCTGTTGCGTCCCAAGGATCCTTCTGCACAGCTTCAGGAATTGGCTAAGCAGCAGTCAGAGGCTTTGTTGAAGAAGCTGGGTGGTGGTGAAGGTGGACCCGAGGGTGTGAGTCGCGAGATCCCAAAACGTTCCTTGTCGTCCGGCTCGGAGGGAGTGTTTCCACCTACTTATGTTGCGCAGTCGTCGAAAGGGGTGGTGCTCAGTCCGCAGCCGGTAAAAGGCAGCGCGACAACGAGCGCCTTGCGTAATCTGGGTGATGGGCAGGGTCATCTGGCATCTTCAACAACATCGCAGATCCAGGAGCCGGCTTACCAGGGTCCAGGTGCCGCCTGGGAGAGGGGAGAGGGTGCCCCGTTGTGGGAAACGCCCGCACTTCCTGCGGAGGAGCAGCGCGATGTGCTTGACACATAATGGGTAACGAAGCATATGCACTCGTGTCTAATAGTTACATCATACAGCAGCAATATTTCAGGCTTACGGAGGATGAATATGGTGGCATATGGCAAGGACAGGGGTACCTGATTGTATAATATTTGCGGCGATGTTTGCGAGATGCATTTGCCGAGTGGGGTTAACGAGGTGATAATGTCGAGATGACGAATGGCGAGTGGGACTAAATGAAGTGGTATATATTGTCAGTGTCCCGGCTTGTACAAGCAAAATGTCTTGCCTCGCCGATTCAATGGTTGCATATCAACGCACCTCGCTAGCGATTCATGAGTGTCGTACTTGTCCAAAAGATGATGGAGAGATGCGCGGGTAACTGTTTTACATCAAGGCTTGTACTTGTCCAGCTCAATCAATCATCATCTCCAACATGTTTACTTGAAGCCCATCTTAGGGTGTCACCGTTCAAAAGACGATTCCTCACAGAGTGCTTATCTTGCGTACATAGTAATCGCTGGTAATCCTACAGAAAATTGGTATGATTTTATACCTCAACCAGAAAGAACCGTCCCAAAACGCCGAGTAATGCCTGCTCCTGGCTTTGATTATTGGTCGTCGTCGCCGGCTTCCTCGACCGTAACGGCCTTGGCCTTTCCCTTGTTGCTACTACCACCCTCCTCCTCGGCACTCTGCTCGGATACCGCGGCGGCAGCGGACGTCTTTTCCGGCGAGCTCCTGGGCACATCTGCATCGTGTCTCGGAGCTTCGTCAATCGACATCTCCGACGGGGTGCTGTTGGCCAAGCCCGATAAGCCGCGTCCGTTGCCGAAGAGCTGGTTCGCTCCGCCCCAGTTGGGTAGCACCGGGTTCGGTGCGAGGACCGGCGGCGGGTCGGGCTGGTTTGTGGAGACATCGAGACCAGAGCCGACTGCTTCCTGTCTTTGCTCGTGGATGGCCGAGCGCGTTGAAGAGTCGTTTGAAGCAGCGTTAGTTGTTTCAGCGTCCTGGGTAACGCCGACAACTGGAGCTTGTGGGGCAGGGGGTGAAGACTGCGCCGTCTCGCCCGACGCTGAAAGTGGCCTCTCGGGGAACGGTTGAGATCCTGGGGCGCCTTCTATCCGCTGAAGAGGAAGAAGCGACCATCCAGGGGGGATAACTACACCCTCTGGAAGCTCAGAGCTACCGGCGGGAATCGCGTTGGAGTGGTTAGCGGCTCCATGCCGTGTCACCACTGGGCCATTCACACGCAGCGTATGATGGATGGGTACTTGCGACAATGACATTGCCGGGAGCGGAATTTGTTGTGCCTGGCCCAGATTGAACACTGGTGGGGCCACTCCAGCGTTCTGGGGTGCATTTTGCGCCTGTTCGGTAAGCTGTTGCAGCTGGCGAATGCGGCCCAGTTCTGCTGTAAGAAGCTGGAGCGTCTGTAATTCCTGGTGCATGCTCTGGAGGGAAGACACCTCACGTTGTATCATCTGCTCAAGCTGTTGAATTTGCTGCCGAATGGCTGGCATGTTGTTGCCGCCCGGTGTTTGCGCAGCAGGCGTGAAAGGGCCAGCAGGACCTCCTTGAGCGAAGGGTGCAGGGATGGCCTCCTGTGGGACGCCCATTTGCTGTGCCAGTTGCTGCATGTTCTCGCCCTGAGCGAAGCCGAGGCGGAGGGGGCCGAGCTGGAAAACTCGTGCTGCGCCGTTGCGGACTGGTTGCTGAGCTGGCTGAATGCCGGGAGCAACACCTGGTGCATGATTCGCAGGCGGTTGCTGGCCAGCTGGGATAGCAGGGGCAGCCCCGAGACCGCCTAGACCAATTCTAGCGAACATCGCATCCCGATTCTGCGGTGCAGCGCCGTTATTATTGTTATTCGTGATGACGACAGGGCTTCGGCAGGTGGGGCAGACTTGTTGACGCTCAAGCCAACTCTTCAGGCATCCAAAGTGCAGAATATGCCCACACGGTAGCTTCTTGGGTCGAACACGCTCTACGGCCCCGTTGTTTGGGTCCCAAGGACGCATTTCCTCTCGGCAGATGATGCAGGTATCCTCCCGTCCCAAATCTTCCTCGGTAGCGTCGGGATACTTGTTCATGTCCTCGACGGCCTTGCGATAGCGCCAGAGTGCTGAACCCCTTTTAATGACTGATCTGGCTGTCATGAACAGGTCACGCATGATGTGAATCGGTAGGCCGTAGAATGTGAGTAGGATGCCGAAGAATACCAGATAAATGGCCAGTTTTACGCAATCTAGAGGTTGTCAGAGTATGGCCGCCAAAGTTTTTGGGGTGACTTACCGGCAATGAGGTCAAGGATCAGGATCCATTGACCCTTTGCCTCCCATCCGGGAACCTCAATGTCCATTTCATCAATGTCCTCCTCGCGAGGCAAGTCAGGCTGGCCCTCGCTCGCACCATTCTCTTCCCGCTGTCGCGTGAGTTCCTCGCGCTCCGCTCGAACCTGTCTTCGTCGTTCTTCTAGTCGCTGTCTGGTTTGCGTCTTGACGATATTCTGCTCCATCACTGACACCATGTAGCGGATTCCAGTTCGCGCCGAACACGTCGCCAGAACGGCAAACTCAAAGAGAAACATGACCATCATGTTAGGACGTGCTTGTTGAATAACTGTAGAGACGGTATATCGAAGAAGCCAGGTGTCATACACCAGGCTTAACAGAAGCGACAAGCTGAGCCGGGTGTGGAAGAGGCCGGGATTCGCGGGAGGCTGTTGTTCGAGGACTTCAACACGGCCGTCGCCTATCCAGCCCCAGACCTTGCCCGTCACCAGTGCGGTAAACATGACAAGGAACCATGCGCCAATCTCCTCCCGGAATATCGTCATCGCGAGGCATGTTTCGGTGATGGCAAACCAGGCCTTTTCGGACAGTTGTTCGACTTCGACTTGTCGCAGCGGGCCATAGAGCAGTCGTTGCAGGCCGTAAATCAGGGTGCCGTAGATGAGGTAGATGAAGTTTACCAGGACCTAGGGTATAAATTAGCTTCGTTCTTGGCGGAATCACGAGGAAAGCCAGGCAACGTACCAACAAGCAGAAATTGCTCTGCGCGAGGTAGACCATTGCCGAGTAAAAGTTGGCTCGTTGGTGGAAGGCTGATACGACGACCGAGGCCGCCAGGGCCGTGGAAACCTGTGTCTCTGGGTCAGCAAGTTACAGATCCGAGATGGCCTGGCGTATCTAGCGGAGACGGAGCTATGTGAATGGAGCTTGCTTCATAGCTCCAATAACATTACTTACCCCTGCGTACCACGCGAGCCTCATCTTGACTTTTGATGGGCTGTTAGCACGAGATTTGGTGATGTGGAGTGAGGGAGGCCCTCAAGTGCCCATGTTGTTGATGCAGGCCAAAGAGAGTCCGGATGCGCGGTGTTGGCGTAATAATACGTCTCTTTCGGAGGCCGTAATTGATGCCACGTTAATGACAAGCATCCACTAGGTATGGTGGATTACCTGAGCAGTGACGCCACAACACAACATCCAACTAGCCAACGCCAAAGGTTGGATAAGGAGCACGTGATGATACGTTACATAAGTGGATCGGGACTACTTTAAGCCGACTCCGGTGCAATGAGACGGCAAAGGCCGGTTGCTCATGGAGCCTCAGACAAGGACGATAATCTTCCGCGATGACTTGGACGACGCTCTCCTCCCGTCCGTTTGATAACGGAGCCTTTTTGCCAGAGGAAAGGCCAGAGCTGTGCGCCGTTTCAATGCTGAGAAAGGCGAGGTGATTTTCGTTAAGTCGTCTAGTGAATGCGACAATGATCACTTGCTTTTTAACATCGCCTTCCTTCTTCGTATCGTGCTTCATCCATGGTCAGAATGACAGCTATACCTTTGCCCATTGCTACTCCGGCGCTTCTCGCATCGCTACGAAACCAACCTCACGTTCCGAAGCATGCGTGGTATTTCATTGCTGCCACGACCTTGACCATACTGAATCGACCAGATGAGATACCACATATCTACAACCATGTCATGAGGCACGGCCTTGGGCCTGATGATGTGATGCCAGGCCCAGAGGAACAACTCACGATCTTGAGAAAGCTTCGCGAAGCACTCGTCAAAGCCTCCGCCGTTGGAGGTCTGCCCAAGGTACCGAATCGATAGTATACTCTTCTACACGGAAATAGTCACTAACATGGTGCAGACCATCAACTCTCTAATGGAGCTGAAGAAAGTGACGCCGGAGCACTTACTGGATGAGCCGCAAGGTGAAAATAGTGCGGTTTCTTCGTCGCCAACTGCAAGGAACATGGACGTACACCACACGCCCTCTTCCAAGATCTTGCAGCGCGGGCAGGGCTTCTGGGATAACATCTACGGCAAAATATCGAGGCGTGTTATGGGTCAGATGGATCGGTCGGGCACGGAAGACCTCGGATTGACCGCCCGGCTGATGTATGGGTACATCCTGAGCAATACCAATGTTCTATCTCCGGTGGAGACGTCGTACGTTCTTATTGCTGGGCTGATACCGCAGGATGTGAACCCTCAGCTCAAGGGTCATCTCAGAGGTGCCCTCAACTGTGGCGCATCTGTCGAGGAGGTGAGGGCCGTGAGAGCCATTGTCATGGACATATGCAAAGCTTCAGGCATGAGCCAACTCGGCGAGGGGATGACTGGTGGATGGGGCTGGCGCAGCGACGTTGCAACTGTATGATGGCTATGTACTACAGGGCGAAATAGACAGTATGCGAAAAGTAAACCCCTCGCGAGGCTTCTAGGCTCCGCGGAAAGCCTTGCGGACACACTGGCATGCCACCTACACGCGTCGCGATATCGGGGATGAGGCTCGGCGGGCTGCCAAAGGTTCCGCCGCGGTCACAATTCCGCAATAGACGAGGCCAGAAGCGATTCACTTAGCATGAGAGAACGGCAAAGATTGACTGGTCCACAAACGCTTGGACCCGAGTTGAGTTGTGATATTTGTGTTCCCGTAATATGATAGACCGTGGTACGAACGGAGCCAGTTGCCGCTGCAGGGCCGTGGGGTAGCTGTGGCCCGCATTGCATACATACATTGACACTGACACACGGCCGTAAGCAAGCTCTTGAGTAGGGACTGGGGTTCGTTCTCATGGATATTGATTCCCGGCGTACTCCGTATACGGATTGAGCCTCGTCCTTTCCCAAGCGAACCAGCTGCCAACTTGCGGCGAGAATGACTGCGACAGTCTACATACATAGTAGTACCTGTGTCGTGCAACCACCCCATGCCCAAAGATTGGCGCTGGGGTTTCCGGGCCACATGATGGGTTCGCGCCGGGGAGATCTGTACATCGCGTACAGCAGCATGCTCTGTACGGAAGGTCGTAGCTTGACAAGGATGTTGGGCTGCCAAGCTTAGCCTTGAACACCAACCATAAACCCATTGAAGGAGTTGAAGACATCACCAACAGCTCTGACGCCGAAGTCCGAGGAGTGCGCTTATTAGAGTTGCGTCCAAGCCGGATACGGCCACTCGAATACAACAGCCCATCATCCAGGCATCTCCCCTCTTGAGACTGGCATCCCAGAGCCCCTGCATTTCTGTCTGTCCGTGACTTCTGCTTGGCTACCACTCGGGTGGAGAGTTGCGAGAGAAACAGGGCTAGGTGTTCAGGCAAGCCAAAGGCGATGGGGGGTCCCAAGTAGGTTGTTCCCGGGGTGCCAGTTGCCAGGTTCCCTCTGGAGGTAGTCTGCATTTGTCAGGCACCCCCGCGGTCAAGGGGAGAAGAAACAATGACAGAATTGGCGTGTCGATCACCTCTGTCTTTTCTGCCAGGGAGTACCGCTCCGAGCGAGGTTCAAGGATCGACGCGGACCTCTCAACCTATCTCTATCTCTCTTTCGTGCCTGTCACGCCTGGCTCTCCGAACACACCATTGACGAGAGATGGGGAACGATTCGCTCGGGGACGGATGTGCCAAATTGGTCGGCGACCATCTTCCACCTCATCTTGCAGCAACTAATTTCGGAAGGCTTTTCGTCCGAGAACATGAACATCATCCCCGGACCCCATGCCTGCGGGCCTGCTCCCCTGCGCCCTTTCTGTCAAGACTCCGACTCCGATTCTCAGCCACCCAGTCTCAACATCAAGCCATCTGTCGCTCCGGATCGTATCCTGATCGCTCAAAGGAGCCGCGAAATATTGCTCTTCGCCGGGCCAACAAAAAAAAATAGTGACCGCGCCAAAACTCCTGGCCACCCCGGTCCGTTGCAGGCTGCTTGCTTGCTTGTAATCTGCCCGCCACCTACGGATACTCGTCCTGTCCTTCGGCAGTGGAGCGCGAAGGATTGAGACTATCATTTTGGTCTGGTCGCGATTGTCTACAGATTTCTGATCTACCGGCCATGCCAACCAACCGTCAGGCTTCCCAAGTTCCTACCCCTCACGTGCCTTTCCGCCTCCGACTCCCACATATCTCGCCCACCCCAGCCTCGGCCTACCTCGCCTCGCCGGCGGTGTCTTGTTTCTAGAACATCCCATGCTACGCCTCCCATCTCCGTAGCGAGGGCATCGCGACGGGGGCCCGGCGGAGCCTGGGAGGACAGACTCGCCTAGATTCAATGACCGAACCGGCCTTTCTCTCAGAGCTAAGAAGCTAGGCCCGAATACTCTACGCGAAGCCCGCCATTGTGTGCTCAAAGCTCCTTCCCGCCCTCGCCTACAAAGGCGACCCCTGCCCAATCATCAACACGTGGTTTGGGACGAGTCTAGGGCCCTTTGAGGCACCTTTGGTCCGTCTGGTGTGGTATTCTATCGTCTAGCCTCACTGTGACAGACCACACCCTTCAAAGAGGGAAAACCCCCATCCCGCCCGCAACCCATCGCATCGTCGGGAGGCGGGCGTGGCGCTGGTCAAAACCCGCTGCTTCGGGTCCTGCGCACTTTGATCTGTGAGACCCCGTTTGTGACTTTTGCGCTGGTTATTTTCTAACGCCCGCTCATTGCCCTGTTTTAACGATGCAACTTCTTTGTTTTGGCTTCTGCGAGGGCGGGCGGACAGAAGAAACCCAGTCCCAAGTCCCAACTCAATCTCTCATGGCGTTTTGCTTCGGTGTCTAGAATCTAGATGCTTTAGCCACGATGGTTCCCCTTTTTTTCTCCCCCTCCGCCCCCCCCCCCCTTCCATTTGGACTCTGCTGGCTCTTTTAGCCCACAGACTAGCCTAGCAAAGGCACACAGACGGTCAAAGGAAAGCAAGGGGACGGGGAGTAAAAAAGGCCTCGACGTTTTGCTCACTGTCTCAGCGCTGTCCCGACCTCTCGGGTGTGTGTGCGTCCAAGTATGAGCCAAAGCCCGTGTTTTCCTCAGATCTAGAGTCTATTTGCCTCGACCCTTTCCAACAGTGTATCGCACTGCCCACTGTGCAAAGGAAAGGAGACAGGGAGAGGCGACCGCGTTGGGGGCTACATTTACACTGGCTTAGTGGCCCTTTTACTTTGCAGAAGCCGGCGTGACGCCTCTTTTGCTGGGATGCGTGGTGTTAGTTCCGACGGTCTGGGTTCTTCGGACCCAAGACTGCGGTATGGCATATGGATACCACGGCGGTAGCTTTGCCCTATTTCCCCTTCGCCCAAACGCTGGGGACAAAACCTACCCGCACTGTTGCTGTTTGTGGTAATTTTTCATGTCGCACGTACGATCTAGTCCCCGAATTTACACGCGATGAGCAAGCACGGCAGCCTTATCTCAAACCGGGGGACCATCTGTGCCCTCGGTCGAGTACTCGCTCCTTGAAAAAGCCGAGAGACACTGGTCCCTTCGATTCGTCCTAGTTGCCGTGCATCGCAGAAACGAGGGGTGCGATATGGGACGCCAGGGCCCTTGAAGTGACTATCTCACAAAGAAGCAAAGTCCGACAACGCCAGCATCTCGAATGCGTTTCTTAGACGTTGAAACACCCTCCTCGTTACCCTGTCGCAAGCCATTACACCCCCGTCAAAACATAGAGTTCCCGATGTCAACACCAAATGCCCACTCATCTATTTCTCACTCATCACCTTTCTCTTCTGCAATGCTTCCAGGTCCTATAGCGCAAGAGAGCCAAGTGACTATTCTTCTTTAGTTCAAGGGCCGTAGCAAATGGGCGACGGACCGCTCGAGCGAGTGAGACACTTGCAAGGCCGGGGCGTCGCAAGTTCGCGGCAGAAATTCGCGCGATGTTCAACGGAGAAAGCTAACGGTTAAAGACCTCACTCACATCCAAGGTTGCGGTGCGTTACTTCTTCGCGTGGCAAGGTTCTGGTGGTCTGGAATACGTCGTCCGTTATGGGATATCACAAGGAAGCGGACCGGCCTGACTTTGTTTTGGCACGTACAGTCTCGTACCAAACAAGTGTCCCACAACCGCGTTCCCCTTCACGCCTGAGCACCCAGATAGGCCGTTCCTCGTGCTGAGCTGTTGTAAGGCGTGGGAACTTCCTTCTGACACCACGCGGCGATTCGTCTTCCAACCTCTTGCAGGACATTAAAGGACACGCACCCTTTCCCACCCTAGCCTGTGTATATCTTGATGGACTCTTATTATCTCACGCCAATCTTCGGGACTCGTTATGGCTGAAACGGGAATACTACAGTAAAACCTATGCAGACCAAAACAAAGCTGGACCAATCCCGAATGGCTGTGACACCCAGAGAGAACGAGATGGTTGTCTCCAAGACTTAGGCTCTCGCGGGTAGTGTCGATAACGTTCACTTCTCTCCGGCCGTTGGAGGGGAACCAAGGCACCGTAGGATCTGGTGGTGCTTTGGTGTTGTCGATGTGAGTTAGTGATCTTAGGGTAGGATGGCTGCGTTGGTCCTATTAAGGCAGTTTCTCGCGAGCGCCCTCTTGACCAGACTGTTGGGACTCAACTGTCGAATATGCGACCAGGTATTTCTCGTCTTGTGGAGAGAACTCACTCCGAAAGCCTCATGTGTATTCCTGCTCTCGTGACCAGAACATCCCACAGACGTAGATTACATTTCGTTACGGTGTAAAGTTATCTAAGTAGACATAACAGGTACCAACAAAGACAAATCAGCCCAAGATGTCACACTGTCACCAGGCCCATAAACAGGCAGGGCCGCCTGGGCGCCTTCTCACATACGCTACGGAGATATTCTTTTCTTCCTCAAGTGCGAAAGGGAGAAACCTCCGAAATAGGGGTTCGGGCGGGTATTGATCACCCACCCGTTGTCGGCAGACACGGTATCATGGCCGCTGGCTGGGCTTCCCGCCTCACATATCTCTTGGTGGCACAGGGACGGACATTGACGGCGTCTAGTAAAGGAGGGTACAGTGTAATTGTTTTCCCATGGACGCCCCCATCGGCGAATAAGGCACATGTGCACACACACAGTCATGCACGCCATCCCCATTGAACTAAGGACGAATGATAGAGACGCGATGCTATCAAAGGCGAGTATCAACGCTTGAACCCGGGCGCTTCCACAGATGTACTGCTGGTCAAAAGGCTCGTCAACGAAGATTGCCTAGCTCTGCTGGCGGCGGACGATTCATCGTCGACGGCTGCCTCCAGAAGATTTCTGCAAAACTTGCATCACCACCCAGTGTCGAAGCTCGATAGCCCCCGGCATCGCCAGCTTGAAAGCATGGAACCCCCGGCCCGGTGAAGACTGAACAAATCAGCCAGACAAGGCGCCCCCCCTCCCAACAGTACTCCGCATGGATAGAAACAAACCCTCGTCTCCGATGTAACAGCGAACCTGGCCCAGCTGCCTAAGCTCGCGCGAGCGGTCTGGGAAAGAAAAAGCCCTGGGATGACGCAGGATCTACACTGCAGGGAGGGAGAGGGAGAGCCCGGGAGAGAGAAAGATGAACGAATGAGCAACAGAGACAAGAGTTGAGAGGCTGTGATTTGTATTGCTTAATTCCGTGTCCTGGCAAATCGTGTGCCCTCCGACAGTTGCCTGCCTATCCCTTCTTTCTGCTGAGATCCTGGGAGTAATGGATCTTGTTGATGTCGTGGATCACCACTCTTTGGGGACCCTCCCCTCGCAGGCACAGAGATACCGGGGTTCGCACATCATGTTTGATATGTCGATCACTATTCACTCACGGCTCACCTTTGACGTCGCATCGGATCTACAGGACGGGTAGCCATAATTCCTCATCAGTGGCAGGGGCAGCAAGCTAAGAGGGGCAGCAAGCTAAGAGGAGCAGGCCGCAGGCCGCAGACGAGGGGAAATCGAAAAATTCGGTATACTGCGATACAAGCCAGGGCCCAGGTGGTGAAGAAAGTGACGGTCGGTCCCCAGTCCTCAGCTCTCCACAAGTTGACACGCCAAACCCGTTTTGGAAAGTCTGCATACTGGTAATAGACAATCTCCCGCGGCGGGACCTATCACAGCGAGCAAAAGCAGGTCGGATGGTATCCAAAAGGGGGTAGCGGCCGACGGGGGAGAGGGGGGGCCCCATGGACACCGACTATTGGTAGAAGAAGCGATTTTTCGTTCCTTCATGTCATCCCTTACCTGATACTGCCGGCTCTCCGAAGGGCAGATCACTGAATGCAGTTTCCTCTGCGCGTCCTTCCCGTTCGTTCTGAATGATGGGACGATAACGATTGTGCCGGGTACTGAGTAGGCATTCAGACGATTTACAGGGTCGTGCGTATGTGCGCGTGGACGTCCGCTGGAAGACGTTTTGGCCGAGGTGGGCAATTACACGCACCACGACGAGCGAAACCTGCTGGGCTCCTCGTAGCGCGGCTTGTCTTCAACGACACTCCGTCTCTGTTCTTCTGCTGGGGCACAAGTCAGGTAGCCGTACGACGGGCCAGGCCCTCTTCTTCTCCAGCCCCTGCTCAACCTTACCCCCCCCAAGAAATTGAGATGATGGAAACAGTGGCCTCGATCTCGTTTCGTCTGTTTTCCATGCCCGCCGACTTTCGTAAAGCTATCCATAATCCCGCGAGATGAGCGAGACTTAGATGGCCAGGGCAGGGATAGGCATTCTGCGGAAGAATCAAAAGGGGGTTGAGGCCTGTAGGTGCCTGTCTAGTAAGGCCGAGAGAGGGGATCCGCTCTCCATGTGAATGAAGCCTGCGCCATCCAGAAGGAGTCAGTCCAGACTGGAAGTGGCTACACGATCATTAGCCGGGAGGCACTTAGATGCCGCACTTGGTACTGGCGCGAGGATGGACTACCTTTCAGTATCCATACTCTGGGCGTGCAAAGCAGAGGCATCCAATACATAGCTTGTCTCGTTAGCCAGCCGCTGCAAGTGCCATAGCGTTGGGGGGGTCAAGTAAGACTAGGAGGGTAGGTCGAGGTACATACAATGTATGTGGTGCAGTAGGTGAGGCTTTCTCTGCCAATTTTGCTGGGAAAGCATGAAGCAGCGGGGGAATGTGTGCCTTGTGCCCCGCTTTTCGTATGAGAACGCTTGTGATGCGTGTGTTCGGAGTTTATCTCGTTTGGGGTTAAAGATAGAAACCTTGATTTGACGCGGGGTGGGGACGTTTCTTTTACTCAGTCTCGCTGCCTTGACCAGTCCTGTCCGTTTCCACTAGTACTGTCTCTCACGTGTCCCGCATAGCTTCCCACCCCCGCCCGACCCTGATCCACATTTTGCCCTCTCATCAGCCCCGCTCTTTCCATTTCTGTATCTTGTCTCCCCTCTTAACTCACTCCTAGTAGCAAATACTGGATTGCTGTCCTGGACGGGGACATGGTCACCTATGATCATGGTCTCTTACCTAAGGCTGCTAACTTGTCACCCCATTCCCTTTCCTCTCTCTCTCTCTCTCTCTCTCTCTCTCTCTCTGCAATGGCCATGAAACGTCAAGGACATGATCGGTGTGAGAAGCCCTCCGGTTCCGAGTTAGACTGTCAACGCCCTGGTGTCCTGGCAGTTCTCGAAAGCCAGACGCACTCGTTACAGTGCGTCCTAGATTTCCCCTCAGATCCATGGCCCTGGGCCCGTTGGCGAAGCTTTGAGGCGGAAGCCTCTGTATGTGGTCTGGTCCTGGGCCCCTACATGGCCCGCACGATAGGAAGGATGGCAGCGAACTGGGGGTGGCGAGCTCACCGTGCTTCAAAGGAATTGTGGATAGGATTCTATCACATGCGACTCTCACACCCCAAAGTCAAACCGTCGTCCCAGGAGTCTGGGACTATCACGCTATGCCAGCCCAGTGCCCAGCTACACTACTTTGGCAGGCCTGGCAAGCCTGGCCTGGATAGGTGCCGCCAGTCCGCCACAAGCGATTGCGGCACGGGCAAAACCGTTAATCCTGCCACCTCATGCGGACACGCTAACATCAGCAAGACCACCACGCAGCACCGCGCCGTCGTTGCCCTAGGCCAGTAGAGGCCAGACTAGACTTGGCCGACGTCGCAACCTCCTGGTCTGTGTTGGGTACTTGGGAGGGGCAGAAGAGACGGGTCGCTGCTTGGCTTTAGTCTTCAGATCGCTAGCATCCTCCCGCCCCGCCGAGCCCGCTTCCCTTCCAAGTTCCCCGACGCACCAAGACAGCCCGGCCCATGCCGTTTCGGGACTGGCCCCCCTTGTCATTCTCGTTTACCATTGCTGTTTTCGTCGCAAGCGTACCCACCATCGATTCAGTAAGGCAGAGCCCTGCAGTGTGAGATCTGCGGAATCCAGAGAAATGGGTCCTGGACGGCTCGATTTTCTGCCCAAAGCCCTGCTGTCCGTCTTCCCCTTCTGCGTGGAGGGAAAAAAACATGGTGAACCTGATCTCCCAGGGCAGGCAACTGGCCCCCTGGCTAGTGTCTTTTCCCGTACACAGTACAAAACCTGTATCCATATCTCGTCTATTCGATACAGAAAAGCAAGCACGGTCGAAATGCTGCTGCCTTGAGAGACATCGGGGCCGGCTCTGTGCCCTGGCGGCTCGTGACCCCGCTCGCGTTTATGACATCCGCATGACCCGTGTGGATCATGACGGTGACGAGAGTCTCGAGACTCCGAGAGTCGAGACATGCCTGCAATCATCTTTAGTCGCGAGGTGCGGCGACGGCAGTTGCCAGTTCGTATACGGTTAACAGGCCTGAGGGATGCGTTTAACCCTGCGGCGGTATTGTTTTGTCGTTTTAGGGGGAAACGCCGAATCTGCCAATGCCTATGCTCGAAGAATGCGAACCCGCCAATCCGTATCGACGTCCCATCGGGTGCGAGCCATTGGCCGGCCAAGTATGTATTGTAACCCCGGGCCGTGGGCGATGCTTCTGACTTGCGTGCAACGACTCGACGACGACTCAACAGAAACGCCTCAGTCCCAAGAGTATGCCGACTTAGACAATCGAAAGATGGCTATTTGAAAGGCTGGCATGGACATTTGAAATGGCGACTGACAATCGAATCTCTATGGGCCTGAGTCTCAGCCATCCGATGAGGCAGTCACCAGCCTAGCCAACTTTGTCGACATTCGAGAACCACACAAGCCTCAACGGTTGTCAGTGGCATCGTGGATCGCGGAGTCCCACCCTGGGAACTCGGAGACCGACCCCGAAGATGTGGAATGTGAATCCGTAGGACACGGAATGACAGCGGGCAGATCTCTTCATTCCGCGGGATGGAGAAAACGGAATTGCAAAGGCGTCTTTTTATTTGCTCATCTATGTGCTAGTGGAGACGCAACAGGTACGTGCCTTACCCGACTTGTTTCCCTGTGCGAGGTCTCGTCCCCACCTGCTGCTAGGTAGGTAGGTGGGTAGTTGGGTAGGTATTCTGTTCGGCGACGCCGATCTCCTGAACCTTAATCATGGATCGTCGCTTCCGTAGCCAATGAGGACTCTCCGTCACGTGGTCCAATTAAAGACGCCGTTCCCTCTCCCCGTTCCGCCGTCACCGCCAGGTGGGTGAGCAATGGAAAGGAAAGTACGGATACGGATGCTCCATGATGCCGCCCCTCCCAATGCGCGCTACCATAATATCACCCGGAAACATTGGGGAATGCTGGTAACGATGACGATGCTTTAGAGAAAGCGTTGGAGGAAGAGGAGCACTTCTTCCGTCCTCGTGGGGTTATGAGTGCTTTCGAGCGTTTGTATTTGTACATTCTGACAATAGACCGATTTTAGGGGTTCCTTGGTACAAGACAAGCGGGGAGGGATTCAGTGTGATAATCAAACGGTTTTGGGATTCGAGCAGTCCTGAGTATCAAATCTCATTCTCTTCACGTTGGGTCTCGACTTCTCGACTCCTCGACTCTCATAGGTACTCGAGCAATTTCAATCTGCTGCATCTAAAGGACGATAGCTGGCAGAGGGTATACCGTAATTCCGTAGCACCGTAAATACGTACGTACGTACGGAGTAGGAGTAGTATTGGGGACATCACCAATCAGATCTCCAATCTATGGCTGCGGCTGTGCGGCCTGCCCTGCCAGCGAGTACCTACTGTGGACTCGTGGAGGAAAGTCGAGGGTGAGGCTATCGCACAGCTTGCCCAAATAGGAAACTAAGTGGTCTGTGCAGAGAACCCCTCCACATGTAGTCTCCACCGTTTACCGAAGACCCCTGTGGTACCTCAGTTCGTCCCTGCGCCTGTCTGTCGTCCCGTCCGTCTCGTCCCAAGCATTCGGATGATGGGTGTCTGTGTCTCGAACATCTGCATCCTGTGGCCCGCTGCCCTCCCCTGTGTGCCTGTGCTTCCGTTTGTGCCTCACCTCCGCATCTTGGCTGACCAGGTAATGGTTCGAGCAAACAATCTGTATCAACAGCATGGAAGACGATACAGGATCGCTCCGTGTCCACATCTGACACTCGCGACACTTGTCTCTACAGCACCCCAGTAAAAATGCGGTTTCGTGGAGGAGCCAATTGCGACGAGGAACTGCTGCCACAGCCTGCCAAAGTCCTCCCCTCCTGTGACCTGTGTAGAATCCACTTGGAGACAGGAATCTTGCGGGATTCGTACACATCTGAGGCAAGGAAAGAAAGACAGGCACCAGATGATTGCGTTCCCGCGATGTTCAGGGAGGCACGCTCCGTAGTGCCTAAAAGGTAGGTTACCTCAGCAATTGCACAAGGCGGTGGAGGAGAAGGGATGCTGCCGGCGCCTTCCCCTGATCTCACCCTCCCTGCAACTGCAACCCGACCGCAAATGCAACTGCAACTGCGACTGAGGTGCCTGGTGCACTTGCCAGGCCAGCGGTGGCTCTCGGGCTCAGCCCTATGAATGCTCCCAAGTCCGTCCCGATACCAAGAGTGCCAGATTCCCTAGGTAGTGTCGTCAGCCACACATGCGCTTTCATCAGTACTACCTACCTTAGGTACGGATACGGAGTACTACCTTGCACTGTAGCCTGCTACTGGACTGGGGGCCTAAAGACAGCTTCAGAAAAACAAAGCATCCCAGGAGTCCCGCTTGCGCTGGCGGTGGCGGCAAGGGACCCGGCGGTTCGGATACACAAAAGCATTCATCGTTGGGCCTCAATGCTGACATGGGCCTACGAGGTCATCTTCATGAATCAAGTCCGACTGCCAACATTCTGGGGCCGGCCAGAAACATACGACAAGAGATGCGATGCCGCCGTCAAAGCCAATCTCCAAGTGCTCTGCCCCGTGCCCCTCGTCTACCTTTGCCAGAAGAAGAATGAGATTTCATTTTACAATCCAGTGTTCATCAATGGCCTCAAGCCCCCCCACCCCGCCAACATGGCTGATTATCGGCACCATGTACCTTGTTCAGACAAGCATCGTCCCGGCTCGCCTGAATCGCCAGCTGCGCGTACCAAACTTCATATCGGATGTAGCCCAATCTTTGGGCCGGCCGGTGGACCATCATCATCGTCCTGTGTAGGATCGCTCACGCTGCAGACTGGTCTAGACTCTGGACTCTATCGCCAGCCATTTGCCAAAGTCGTATTATCGATCCCACGGACTGCTTTGCTCCAAGGACAAAGGAAACTTACCACGGTGGCTACCATTGCATTGCAGTCAAAGTCACCAAGATCGTCTCGTCCCTTCGGCCCATTCCACCCTGCAGCAATGCTTGTACACTTGCCTAGCTTGCCGTCTCGACTTGCCTCGCTGCCGGACGGCGGACAGTCATGAGATCACTTCTGAACCTGGTTTTTGATAGAATACGACCCTGCGCAGGGTGACGGTTATGCGGCGACTACACTAAGCGGCACCGTCGGATTTGGCCATGCCAGCGCAGACGACGCCATGATTCCCCACACCAACAGGCGCAAATTTCACCCATTGATTTCGCCGTCTTTCTCCCTGGGTGCTGCAATTGTCAACCATCCTGATTTCTGACCCATGCTCCGCTGCTGCCCATTCCCCCGGGAGCCCACGCCTGTGCCTCCCATTCGCTCTTTCCATGCCCCCTGATCACTGGCTTACCCGGTCAGCACAGAGTCAATCCCGTTCTTTTTGCACGTCCTCCCCATCCATCATTGACGACCAGTTGAGCAAGCGACCCCTATTCATTACAGAGTCGGACTCTACCTCAGACACGACCAATGATCTGGCCCGACCGCAGCGGCATGGGAGGCCGCAATCAACCAACACTAAGCCAGTGCAACGGACGCTAAGGTGTCCGGCGAGGTGATACACCGGGTCGGTTGGACCATTCAGAGGACCAGATTGGTGCCCGGCACCTTTCCCCTCTAACGTGTCATTCTCCCTGCGTTTGGCTGCAAATTTAACTACCTCCCGAAATATTTTGCGAACAGATTTTCACGATGCTCTGATATGCATACCCAACCCCTGACTAAGGGTAGGAGGAGTGGGATAGGAGGCTCTGTAAGTCTCAGAGATCACAAGGGCACCCGACGAAGCCTATGCAGTCAGTGTCTCTAGGGCGTGCCGTCGATTCGGTAAGGCTGAGCGTTGTCGAGTTCGAGTTCTCTGGGCGCAGACTCTCTATGCTTGACAGGACGCACGGCGGCGTCGAAAGATCCCGACGCGCAGGTTACGGGGAACGACTGGGCGGCACAGGAGCGGCTTGCGTGCGGCATGTCTCTTCACTCAACGCCGGCTGGCTGGTTACACCCCAAAATGGCGGGATCGCTCCCGTCCCCTGGCTCCACACGAAGACCCTTGAGGTTCAGCAAGCCACCAAACGAAAGCATGCAATGTGTGCTCTTGGAGCAAGAGGCTGGGCCTCGCTACCCCGTGCTATCAACCATCTCGGTCGAGTCTCACTTACGGACTGCCTCATTCGAAGCAATGGCACGCGGGTCCAAAGATGACATGACGCTTGCAACCCGCACCAGCTCCAGGTCAGCCAAGAAGAAGAGCATGGCAAGTTCCGTTTGGCTGGATTCTAGAGCATTACAACTCCCGGCCGGCAGACAGGCCTTCTGACCAACGTCTCTCGAAATCAGAGATACCAGGCTAATACCATGAGCTTCGGCGAGAATGCAGAGTCTCGGCGAGCACCACCTCCAAGTCGACACAAACACCCGACTTCTGTTACTCGGACCGTACCTACGCACCCTCGGCGACCAAGCAAGCCGACGGCCAAAGTCAATAATGCGCCAACACTGCGATCAACCGATAGCGCTGTACAGGTCGCCAGGAGTACACATGGCGTTGCTATGAACACGAGGTGACAGAGGGAATACGCCGTGCAAAGAATACCACCTATGGAAATTCGTACATGCATAAATAATCCTCTGTCCGCGAGCCAGGCAAAATTAGTTGTCAATTATCGACATGCTTCCACGTTTGATGACTGCAGGGTTTCTGAGGGACAAGAAACCTGGGTCGGTAAGGCGCATCCATGTTACCAGGAATGCGGGATGGAGTCGAGCCAGCGAATACCCGGTACCATTACGTGCCACGGGCGTGAAACATTGGTGGATGCGCAAGTCACTGTACACCGCCCTCACCCGCCGTGGCATCTGGGTGGTAGCCCTTGGCAAGGTTGGGGTTCATCGAGGCTGGTGAGCACCGGCAAGGTTGCACCGCCTCCTGGGCTTCTTTTTAAAGATTTTGACTATCTCCAAGGCAAGGATAGCGGCAGCCGTATAAACACCAATCAGATACTTCCATCCAGGGTCTCGGGCAGTTGAGCCACCGCTACTCCTGATCGGGCGAGATGTCTCGATGGACGATGTTATACCATGCCGGCTCTCTTCGGTTTCTCGCAGTGCGGAGACGACCTGAGTTCCCCATGGCCTCCATGGGTGCCTCGTGTGCGCCCCGGCCGGCGACCCATGATGCGGAATGCTTTGGTCTGTAGCGCATCGAATCTCGCCAAGCGAAACCACCCAAAGCGTCTACGTCTGAATGCGACTGATATTGCGAGCTATCTTTGGGACAATGTTACTTTCCAGAACATTAGCGACACCTCGAGAAGCAACATCGTCGAATCTTGGCGACCTGTAAGAGTGGGAGAGAGAGGTTGCCCTTGCTCAGCCCGTGCGGCAACGGCCGTAATCCCACCCAGACTAGTGAATACTTCATTTCCATCACAGTCCTGCGCGCTAGCAAGAAAGCATTGTCTGGTACGCCGGCGGATGATGATGTTCCCATGGTCCGGACGGCTTTACGTCTCGAACTCACCAACCCGATGCGACGCACATAATTATCAAGGAGTTCGACGTGTCACACTTTGTACAGAGGCTTGAGACCGTCGGGGCAAGTAGTCGCGAGGCAACGCCGCAGCAGACCAAGAAAGGCTACCTATAAGCCCTGGTTGCCTGCCATCTTGGGGACGAGGCGTTGAATGGCAACAATGTGAAGCTCCCAGAGGTCGGTACTAGCCTTTTGTCTCATCGTGGCCGGTGCTTGGTGGCATGGGGACGAAAAGAAGCATCTAACCACCAGAAATCTGGTCTCCACCTACCGCACATACTTTTCCCAAGGGGCCGGTTGCACCAAGATCAAGTCTCGGACGGGGCCATTTCGAACTCTGGCCGTCGACTGGATGGAATACGCCTCTAGAGAGCGGCGCCGCGACGTGGTGCGTCTAGCGTGCAATGACTATTACCGAACGGCTCTGGAACCCTTCCAACGTCTGATCCTTTGGACCAGCCAACAAACCCGCCAGCCCGGATTGGCATGGCATCACAGACAAGAGACTCAGTTATGCTTGGGTCGTGAAACTTTATTTGAGCTGTCGTGATCCTTGGAACCTCGATGTTTTGCCGCGTGTCGGGGCCGGACGGCTGCTCTCGACGGCGACTCTGAACCGCCAGCCCACCTTATTGTCTCTGCCAGTTGGACATGTACGATGCAAGCCTTTCCGTGCCTAGACTTGGAGTCTTGACAGGATTGAGTTGCCCAGGTACTGTTTTGGTACACGATGCCGCGAACAAGATGCTGACACGCACCGTCATCCCAAGGCAGGGCGGGAGGAAGAGCAACGTTAGTGGCCGCGACAAAGACATGGATCGGTGCAGACTCTCTCCGGCCCGTACACGATCCCATTACCTTTGAGGAGGCATAGGCGCCATCGCATGGTTCGAGGTCGCTACGTATATCCAGTCGACAGTGCTACCCACACTCCAGGCACCGCCTGGGACAGCGCGATATGGGGTGACTGCAAATGTCATTTCCAACCTCTAATAATAAAGGCTCCGACTAACAAGTTAGGGACGGATAAGGCCGGGCTGTGCACACCAACAAGTCTGGGGCGGGCCCGGCCTGCACACCAGAGTGCTGCCACAGGCTGCAAGCGTGGAGAGAGGCGCGGCGCCGTTCATTGGACCAACTTCCACCCAGTGCCCAAACGGCAAAATCTCAATAAGATAGATCCCTGGGCCTGGGATGAAGAAGGCTTGCTCAGCACAGCACGAGCACCCGCAGTGTGCAGTGTGCAGTGTGCAGTGAGTAAAAATATCCAGCCCCTCGACTACCTCACCCACCTAACCTACCTTAGAGTAAGCAACGCAACACCATACCGGTATGCGTACCGGCGCAACCTACGGATCCAGACTGAGAGACACCTCCACCACGACACCTCCCGCCAGTGCCTCCACAATAACCCGCCCCCCCCTTCGCTCAAGATGAACCCATTTTGGATCGAGTGTGTTATGCCATTTCGAGGCCAACTAACGCATTTAGATGATGCACACTGCCCAGTTTTTGTCGCTACAAGTTACGACTCTGGTTGTCGCTGTCCACATTTGGCTCAGAGGTTGTCGAAAGGGGGCTGTGGCGGTTGGACGTGCTTCATGCACACTATTCCCACCCAAGTTTCTTTTTCTTCGAGCCCTCACGTTGCTTTACCTCCGTCAGCATATGCAGGACCTTGCATATACTGCTTGCTGTTTACAGGTCCTTGAATCTACAGTACGGTCGAAAGTTTCGACGCCTTTTGGACGGGAGAATAGCGCGGGAAGAAGAAAGTGCTGCATAGACCGAAAGACGTACTTCTGCCATTATGCAGACCGGCCTCGCAACATGACCTGCATCTACACTGGCGATTCAATACATCTCCTTGTCCATGGAGGACGAGCCAGGGACGCTGGACGATGGATGCTGGACGCCTGGCCGGCAACAGAGCGGGAGCGGAAACGGATGGTTGAGCCCTACGGAGTACTTGGTGCAGCAGGTAGTGCGTTGCGACCCGGTTGCGGCGACGTCAACGCCTACCACGGCAGACGGCTCAATAGATCCAAGTCATACCGACGGCATCCCGCGGCGGCGGAGAGCGACGCCCCCAGCACCTCAAATGACTGGCGGGGGAACGGCTTGACGGCTTTTTCGTACGCGGCCAACAGGCTACCGGACTACGAAGTATGGGACATGCAGTTGAAGACGGAGACTCCCAACCGGGCCCTGGCAAGTTGCCATCTGGGAATGCTTCGTACAGCATCTGCACCTTCGCTGTCTGTCTCATTTGGGGCCCCTGTCAGGCCCCTCGCGTCTACTGGGGCAGGGCCCTAGAGTGCTGGACCGCTCAAGGGGGGGGGGGGGGGGGGGGGGGGGGGGCGGGAGGAGAGGTCCGGGTGCCGTGCCTTTTTTTCGCCGGGCCGCCCCCCGCCCCACCTGTTGGGGTGGGGGGGGGGGGAGGGGGGGTGGTGGGCGTGGGGGGGGGGGGGGGGGGGGGGGGGGGGGTTTGGCCAGACGAGAAGTTCCGTGTACCGTGCTTCTTTGTGCCTGGGCGTCCCAAGGCCCACGCTGTTGGGGTTCTGGCGGCCCTGGTCAGCACTTACCCAAGGGGGAGCTGGCTGCCATTCTGTAGCGTGGCAGTGGGTGTGCGGCCTGGTGTTTGGAGACCACTAGCTCGACCCACGAAGTATCGAGTACCGGGACGGCTGGGTTCCCACCTCCATGGCCGTGACCATCTTGTTCCCAGATACCGGTCTCCATTCTCGCGTACGGCGTACAGAAGTTGTCGACAGATGATTCCTTTTCCCTCGAGAGCTAATGAATGTCTGTCTCTGTGGCACACCATCCACCGCGGCAGACGGCTCAGAGAACACGACGGATAGAAATGAGAGACCAGGTCAGAGACAGATCTTGGCATCCCGCATCGGTGGCAGAGACAATCAAAAGTACACACCCCCTCTCTCTCACTCTCAGAGTCTCCCGAAAATGTTGAAGAGGCTCGCAGTCGCAGGTCGAAAAACCGAGCCTGGAATGGGCTCTGTTTCGTGGCTCTACTACCCAGCGTCCTCAGGTCAAGCCCCCAGCCAAGTCAAGCAAGGCTAGGTCGTTTTTGGTGCACATCTTGCGCTAAACGAGGTATCCACGGAAGCAGAGGGGACAAGAGGAGGTGGTGCAGACAGACCAGGAGGAGCAACAAGAACGAGGGACGAGGAAGCCGCTTCTCGTCTATGCATGCACACCCATACCTACATGGTACGCCTCACGGACAAGGCTCACACCCACGCCCACACCCACGTCGGAGTCCAGCACCCTCCACCCCACCACGCCCCCTTTCCGCTCGTCCACCCCCTGACCCCTGCCGCAAGCTCGGCGTACCGCCTCTGGCTCTGGCGTTGCTGTTGCCGCTGCTCGCTCTCGTTGCTTTTGCTTGTTGCTCTGCCCTACGAGGTGTCGAGAGTGCAGGAAAAGCACCCCTCCACCCCCTGGGCGCTGGTCCCCTGTCTACTTTGGGGGTTCACCATCTGGAGGAGACTGATCCGCGTCGTCCACCGGGTCCCAAGTGCCAACAGCAAGCAAGCCACGACCGTCGAACCCATGTGCCCTGGCCTGCAAGATGTGGTGGTCGTCTCTGTCTCTGCGTGCGTCTGTCTCTCTCTCTCCTTCTCTCCCTCTCTAGAAGCGTGGCTCGCGGCCGGTCTATATCAGTCGTGAAGTCCCCAAGGCCCTTGATGATTTGTTTCTCGCCCCCATCAATCTCTACATCTATCTATCAGACCCAGATCTCTGGATTCTCACGACACCAAGACGACGGCCATCACCTATTAGTCTGTCTCACATTTCGAGAAAGACATCCTCCACCCAACCATCTCTTGCTTCACTCTCGCCAGCACCACTGTTGCTACTACTACGACACTTGACTACGCGGCAATACATCTTGTCGCAGTCAGCGTGTACAGGAACCCTACCTGTACAGGTTGGGCCAATTCGTCTCGAGTCACTCGGAAGCATACCGCCCATAAAGCCTGGAGAAAGAAAGCATTCGCCAATCATTCAACGGCCCGGTTCCTCACAGCGCGGAAACGCCGCGGGCATGAACATCGCTGCAGGTGCGCTCACCAGCCCCACATCCAAGCAGGCGCAGCACAGCGCAGCAGTTTTAAGCAGGTCAAATAGTACAGACGACTGACAGCAGCGGGAATAGCAGTGACGGCACAAGGCAACTAAGAGTGTGGCTTTGCTTCGGACTGAGCGACAGAGTCAGCGCGACCGACCAACCAACCATATAACATCACTTTAGACTTCCAGCAACTCGGGTTTGACCGAGAGGCCTTCCACTGACACGCTTCTTCTCACCACATCATCACACACACACACACACACACACACACATTTACAAACAAAATGGCTTCGATAGATCAGTCATATATCATGCTCCCCAAGCACTTGGGTCCCCAGCACCACGACGACTACATTCTTTACCCTGAGCCACCACAGGGAGTCTTCAGCACAGCACCCATGGAGATGAGCATCCCTGCCGACGCCTCTTACATGTTCCCAACCTCCATGGCCATGGACCACCAGCCCGCCCTCTATGACAACAACTTTATGTATCAAGGCCGCACATCACCTGGACTCTACGAGGACGCCGAGTTCCAGCTTCCCTCGTCCAACCTTTCCACCGCATCAGCACCGTCGGCGGCCTCTTCCAACGTCGGCTCGCCCCAATCCCACAACGACCAGCCGGCGCCAATTCTTGACTGGGCGCACCCCGGCATCGCTGTGACCCCGGGCATCGTGCCCCACGACTACTACAACACCGCCGGCACAGAGTACTCGACCTACGCCGGCCCAGGTATGGAAGACTTTGCAGCTTTCGAATTTGCAAACACCAAGCCCCCGGGTTTCGTGGGTGAGTTGCCAAACGCTTCTAGAACCAGTCTCGCGCCTTCGTCCCGCGCGCTTCCTTTTCTTTCTGCTTCAGGCGAGTCAATTGGCTCTGGCTCTTGTTCTACGAATACAGCTGTGCGCGTGCGCGAGCCGGCCCCGGTGCTGGACCTTCAGTCGTCCTCGTCATCCCCCGTCACTCCCGCATCGCGCAAATCAAGCTTGTCTTTTGTCTCTCCCAGTTCTACTTCCTTCTCTTCTCCTCCAGTCCCCGTCCGGGGCCACTCGTCAAAGACTCCTCGAGTCTCTCCTTTCTTTTCTCAGAGCAGCGGTCATTTCATCGCTCCTCTTGGTTCTTCTTGTTGGTTTTCCTCTGTCAAGCAGCAACGTCCTGATCGCGGAAAGCATGCTGACCACCTTTCCGCTCCAGACCCTTCTTTGATCCACCCCGACATCAGCCGCCCCATGATGAGCAACTTCCAGAACCCCAACCAATATCCCACCTCTCCCGCCCTCTCGCCCTCATCACAGTCAATGTCAATGGTTCGCAACGGCAGTCAATCGCCATTCCTCCATAGCGGCTTCCAACAGCAGCAGCAACAGCAGCAATTTAGCCCCTACGCCACCCCCGGCGACGCGCGCCGCCCCAGCCTTCACTCATTTCCCTCAACCTACTCTGACGGCAATAACTACAGCGGCGATGAGGGCAAGGAGAAGCAGCGATGCCCTCATCCCGAGTGTGGCAAGGTCTTCAAGGACCTCAAGGCGCACATGCTCACTCACCAGACTGAGAGGCCTGAAAAGTGCCCCATTGTGACTTGCGATTACCACGTCAAGGGTTTCGCTCGCAAGTATGACAAGAACCGCCACACCCTGACGCACTACAAGGGAACCATGGTGTGCGGTTTCTGTCCCGGCTCCGGTTCAGCGGCTGAGAAGTCATTCAACCGGGCCGACGTCTTCAAGCGTCACTTGACGGCTGTCCACGGTGTCGAACAGACGCCGCCCAACAGTCGCAAGAAGAGCAGCAGCGCCAACAGCGGCAAGAAGCTCGCGGGGTACCCTCCCGATGCCACTGGCAAGTGCTCTACTTGCTCGCAGACCTTCTCCAACGCTCAGGACTTTTACGAGCACTTGGACGACTGTGTATTGCGCATTGTGCAGCAGGAGGACCCTTCCGAAGCCATCAACGCCCAGCGTCTGGCTGAGGTCGAGAACGACAAGGAGGTGCACCAGACGTTGGAGAAGAACCATCTTCCGACGCAGACGCAGATGCCCTCAAACGAGGAGGAGGACGACGAGGACATGATGGAAGACGAGGATGAGGAAGACAGCAAGCAGCGAGTCAGCGCGTCGCCCAAGAGGAAGGGCAACCCCGTCAACGGCGTCCAAAAGTCGCGCGGCCTCACCCACTCGCGGGGAGGCGGCCCGATGCCGGTCAAGGCCAAGGGTCGCAAGAACCGACGCGACTACCCGTCGTCTTGGGGCTTCGACAAGGGTCAGATGACGATGAAGAAGCGGGTGATGGCAGTGTTTGATGGTCCCCGGCGACTGGCCAAGGACGATATGATGCTGTCGACGGATCACGAGGTGCGCATCAAGCTCGCGGACGGCAATAACTACGTGACGGACCTGGACGTGCAGACGCTGAAGCGGGCCGAGGGCTTCCTCGGTGCGACGGACGAGGAGAAGGGGCCGTGGATCTCTGACGATCCCACGGAAGAGCAGCTGCGGGAGATGCAGGCGATGCTCGAGAGCTGCCAGGCGGCTCAGTAATGGATGGCGACGGAGGGCTCTGTGATACTACAACTTTTTTTTTTTTTTTTTTTGCGGGAGCGACTGAAGAGTGGGAAAATGTCTACTTTGGTGTTGCATGGTTGGCGCAGACTTGTACGGGACTACAATGACTGGCTTACGAGGAAGGGCATGATGAGGTTCATGATTGGACGGACAAGTTTATGTGGTTTGCACTTGAAGGAAAAGGTGCATTTGATTGATACCCTATACTATACTATGGCCCAAGGCTTGATGGTATAAACAGAGATACTTGTCACTCTCACTCTTCATCATTCGTCTCGGATCGGGATACCAAGTCTACTACCACGGCCTTGATTGTGTGACTTGAAAGTTGCCGGGATCTGAATACCGCAGGCCGGAAATAAGAGATGTCGGAGAACAGGGTGCGGACGGAATGGCAGCAAAGATCGGCAGCAATAGTGTCAAGCAAGGAGGAATCAGGATGGGAGAGGATGGATATGCGTGCCGAGCTCGCAGCGGTATTGCCAGATCGGGGATGATGGCTTCCTTGGCCCCATCAGGCTATCACGATGTTCCCTCGGCCCTTTGGCCATTGGACCTTGTTTGCTTGTGTGACCTCAACTGGCCGGTTCCAGGCAGCGAGAATAAAGGATAAAACAACTGGTCGCGCTTTGCCGCGAGACCACCGGGGGCCAAAGGAATTCGGGACTACCTGAGGTGGAAGTCGAAGTGCAAGTGAAAGTGGATGATGATGTGGATGAATGTAAGGCAAGGTAAGGTACACCGTACACAGCAAGGTAAGCACGCAAGGTAGGGAGGGCATCACTGCTGTGGTCGATGAGAGCCTGCGAAAATGACCCGAGGATGAAAATAGCCATGCATAAGTTGCATGCACATGTTGTGACCGCAGTCGGTGGTCAATGTGTGTGTGTGTGTGTGTGGTGGAATCCGGGGCAGGGGAGGGTCGGGTTTGCAGAAGCGTGTGCGAGAGTACGGCACAGCCAGCACAGCCAGCAATTGTTTTTTTTTTGTTTTTTTAAACTGTTTTCTCTGAGGTCCCCGGCGGTGATGATGACGGAGAGGGAGCCCAGTGGAGGGGTGTCTAAACCCCGTAGCCGAAGTTCAGCACTGCTGGTACTTGCAGGAACCCGCACCCCGACGAGTCTCTTCAGCGATGGTTGTTTGCACAGCCACCCGCGCGTGCATCTGCCGGGGTGGGGGGGGGGGGGGGGGGGGGGGCGAGGGCCCCGGGGGGGGGGGGGGGGGGGGCCCCCGGGGGGGGGTCTTTTCCGGCGGGGGGGGGGGGGGGGGGGCCCCGCCCCCCGGGGGGGGGCGCGGCGGGGGGGTGGGGGGGGGGGGGGCTGGTTGAAAGGACTCCGAGGAGAGGGATGGAGGGGACCCGCTGACGGTGATCTTTTCCGGCGGTGTGGTCCCTGAAGAGGCCCCCCAACGCACCGACCGAGGCGACGCCGCGACGGACGGGAGGGAATAAAAACATCGTGGTAGTGTGGCTGTGTAGCGGCAGCGTCCGCGCCGTGGTTTTCATGCACAGGTTTCACACAGATTACCGTAGAGAGGATTCTGCCTGCGAGGCATGGATATCCATCAGTACCAAAGGTCACCAACCTGGGTGATCTCGACGGCCCTGTCCAGGGAAGTTCCCACCTCGCCGCCAACCCTGCTTCCAAGTTCCATCACCTACCTGTCTAACCGTAAGGTACAGTGCTTTTATCCATACTTGCCAAAGGTGATGTCGACCGCCAAGGGATAGCGGTGGCCTGTGCCGGAATGCGCGTCCTATCCTGCGCGTCCTATCCTGCGCGTCCTGTCCTGCGCGTCCTGTCCTACGCCTCCCGTCCCATCTTGTGTCGTCATGCCGCCATGAGGCTCAACTCTATCCATCCCACATCAGACGCGGACGCGGTTCCTTGAGGCTCTCGGTGGCAGTGCGTTCCCCTCTTCCTCCCGCCGGTGCCACTGTATCCGTAAATTTGTCGGCATTGACAAACGCCACACTTTGTCCGTCTTTTGACTTGGCGTGGCTTCAGCGTTTTGCTGCTTCGGACTCGCAGTGGACGATGCCGCTGCTGGCCGATGATTGAGGGACAATTCGACGACCCCGCCATACCGTTTGACCACACCCACATACACACCCAAGAGGGCGACGATTTCCCCCCATCTACCGCGGACCCTCGACGCCACAGCGCTTCGAAAGCACTCTGCTCGCGGCACGTCGTCGTTATCGTCTTTGTCGTCGTTGTCGTCGTCGTCGCCGTTGTCATTGTCGCCGTCGTTAATGCTCTTTTCCCCCCTCGTCATCCCGGAACCCGGCGCTCTTTCTCCTCCTCCAACGACGATGGCGCTCACATCCCGCAACTCCCTCACCGACCAATCTCCCCGAGGACGACCTCATGTTCTCCCTTGGCGTCATTTTTCCCGACGAACTCAATAGACAGCAGGGCGACGCCGAGCATGGCACCAAATATAGCTCGGCCCCATCTCCGCCGGCCCCTCCGCTTCGAGCTCGCGAAGTCCTCCGCAGCTTACGACCGCAAGCTTTTCAGCTACTTCCTCTGAAATTTGATTCTCCAGCTGAGCAAGTTCGTCGAGGCCAGCACACTGGGGTTGGACACGGTCGTCCCCGTCCGCTTGGGACCGTCCAAGTCACACTTTGACGTCCGCTAGAAGACCACCCTCGAACTAGGCGCCAGCACCACCCTGCGGAACATCATGTCCGGCCTGCTCGGCGCCGAACGCACCGTCATGAAGACCCCCCGCTGAAGACCCTCCGCCTCAACGCCGCACGCAACATTGAATCCATCGTCTCTCCCACAAACGCCCTCACGTCCTGCTAAATTCTCGTTGAGAGTCATTCGTGGAGCGAACTCAACAATACCTTCTCCTTCGCCAAAAAGCACGCTTTCGACCGCCTCTTTATGGCCGACTGCATCAGGATGCCATGGCAGCATGCCAACCTGCATAAATCCATTGCCTGGTTCCCGTGGAGGGCCCAGAGGCGCGTCGCTGGGTCGTTGCCGGGTTTCATGAGAGCCGGTAATTTTTTATTATAAATTTATAAATTTAGTTTTGTTTTATAGAACGTTTTAGAATAGAATATATAAAAATAAAATATTTTTTATTAATCTTATTATTTTAAAATAGCTTTTATAACGAAGTCCGAG